TAGTCAAAGTCGTGCCTCGTGCCTCGTGCCTTCAAAGAGCCGTCCTTTATCTTGTATTTTACCAGCTTTTTGAAAAGTCACGTCCTGTGTTTGGCTTTGTGTAAGCACTCGGGTGATGTCTCCGTATAGCTTCTCAGAAGATCACCCTCTTCTAGAATAGGCATCAGAGAGCCTGGTCTACCAACGGGGGGGCTTCACCCACTGCTAGGATGCAAGGAGCTCTCTCGCTCCTCCCCCTGTGCAGCGAACCTGGTTGCCTTTGTGATTTCAGAGTTTTCTGTAGTATTATTGGAGAAGAGACTTTCAGAGATAGGACGTAAACTTTCTTCTCCTTAGCATTGTCCTATGACTGGAAACTTTTTTACACTCAAAGGAGCTTGCATCTGAATTAGAATAAAGTCAGAGGAGTGATTTTGCACTTGGTTTGAGCAGGATCCTGGACTCACACCCCAGCAGTTGCGAAGAGAAACAGATATATTAGTCATTAGGGAACTGGACTCCACTGGAGTCCAATCCAGTGATTGTCTTTCCTACAAGCATTAGTTTCTTCATTTTGGCACAGAAAAGAAAAAAAATTACTAGCTCTACTAACTGAAATCATATGTGGGTTATCTGTCCTGAGGCTGTGTTATCAGATCTTACAGAGCTAGGAGTATATATGATGCCCCTACTGTACACAAAACCCCCCAAAACTTTACTTAGTACTTTTGTCAAGAGAGCTAACAGCAGAGGGACTTCTGGTATTACATATTCAAATTATTAATTTTTAAAAATCAGGTTTTAAATGGAGATTAGGGTGTGACAGGAGAGACAAAAATTGACACCAACTTGGTGATTACTGTGTGTTGAGGTGGGTTGATAGTAATAGTCTGTAGAGCTTTCAGCTCCATAGATTTCATACATACATTTCATACATTTCAGGTCCATATGTACATGCACTCCCAGATCAAGCAGCAGCCTCTGAGTTGGGGGGCAGTCAGAGCAGAGTATCGCAGATGTGGGTCCTAGGAAGTCTTTAGCCACAGCATGGAGTAGCAGAGGACATGTTGGGCTGAGCTATGGAGCAGAGCCCAAGAGTCCCTCCATCGAAGGCATGCGGTAAAATGGGCCTGTTTGCAGATCTCTTAGGAGGTGAAAGAGCTGTGTCCTGAGCAGCATCAACACAGCCCCTAAGTGTGTGGCCCGTGCTTGTCCTGGATAACACCTTCTTTGTGACACCCAGGAAGGCAGGAACTCTGAGCTCTGCCAAGGAAGCCACAAGTGGAGATCCCGAATGCTGTTCCATAGCCTCTGCAAGCCTAGCATCCTTCTTTACTGCCGGCAAGGTGGATGAGAGATGCATGGATGTGATTCCCCAATGTGTCCGTCCATGTAGGCCTGCGCTGTGGCTGACCTTCAGCTCTGTAGGACCTGTGTGTGTACTGGAACTTAGCATTGCTCTCATGATGCATGCCGTTTAAAAGCTGGGGTTTCTCTTCACATTTAGCCCAATGGACCAAACATGTTTTCAGAGGTAGGGAA